GGCAGCAGTTTTCTTCAGCTCAAATGGCACAGTTAAGTTTCTGGAGCTGCTAACAAGGTTTAATAACTGTCAACTGCTGCAAATTACACCAAGATTTCTACTGTTGAAGGGTATTGATTTTAAATACTTGTGCAATCAAAGGATCTTTGTATCTGTGTTCATAATATATAATATAATTGTGGTCACAAACTAAAAGCTCCACAAAAGGACAACAAGACAGATTGTTCAAATTATATTTTCACTTGCCAAAATACTGCCGAATTCTAAGTTTGCACAAAGATAAAAGGAGCCAAGTGGAACCTGATTCCAGAAGCCTGATACTTTCTTTTTCATAGGATGAGTTTTATAATTCACAGTGAACTAGTCTCCTTTAGAACAGAATAAAAATCATCTTACCAGCACTGGGTCTTGGTCTGCAGTGGCACATTTCTTATACAGCACTGAATGAATCTTTCAGCTTCTGTGCCTCAGCTCCAGGGTGTGTAATATGTGTGTTCTCTGATCTTAAAGAGACATTTTAAAAGGTACATTGCTCTCTATAGAATTTAATACTGCAGTAAGAAGGATCACATAAAAAAAACAGAGGGTACCATACAGGGGGAAGGCCAGGTGGCATGCAATCACAAAATACATGAATCTTGAGCTAAAAGAGCTAGCAACAAAAATGAGCACAGTTAATAAAAAGGCCATCATTCAGCACCTGCTTTACTAGACAGAAGTATCCTATGACTATGCAAATGCACAGCATGACAAAAAATTTTCCAAGTAACTTAGTTTTTTGATTATGATGCAGATCGTAGCTGTGACACAGTGAAGAAACTATATGAGCTTACTCTTACTTAAAAATTAAATTAAATGCAAAACACAAGCACATCCTGACAGTAGTGAAAATAAACAATGCACTTGCAACACTTGCAACTTCCCCCTATTTCACTGAAGACAAATAAAACAGACCAGCTTTACTGCAAGGAGGAAATAACAAAAAAATAGTAAATTATACCTTGCAACAGGTTGATATGATTTCCCAGTCACAACTAGAGAATGAAGAAGGAACATAAAAAAATTGAATTTCCAGCTCACTGAAGGAGGACTTCAAGTTTCTTGCTTACATACGAGGAGAAAAGTTCTTCTGGGACTGTAAAAATGTGAAGAACAAGACAACACACGTGACCACACAACCACAACAAGAATCAGCAGTGACAAATTATACACTTGATCTATTTAGAGAAAATAAAACTCAGAGTATCCGTGGTGTGAGCCTATAACAAGTAGTGACAGTACAAAACTGATTCAAATACAAATTACACTTAGAGAAGGAATGGTCCAAACTGTACCTAGCACTGAATGGCAGGAGGTTCAGCAGAGAAGACATGAAGACCATGATCCCAATTCCCACTAGCTATGCTAGCAAAGACTTAACTTGAAAAAGCATTCCATTGCAGTTAACTTGTGTAGAGCTTGCTATTATCCAATACGGGATTTTAACCAATAAAACACATACCTAACTGCTCATCAATATGCTTCTAAATACACATTTTATTTTGCCTGATCATTGAAGTTTGCTTTTTACCTTCTACAATACATAAATTTCAAATATGGCATCACATAACTACAAGCAATAGAATCATAGAATCATTTAGGTTGGAAAAGACCCATAGGGTCATTGAGTCCAGCTGTTAGCCTGACTGTGTCAGGTCCACCACTGATCCATGTCTACCCATCTTTTGAACGTGTCCAAGCATGATACCTCAACTACTCCCCTGGGCACACTTGTCCAATATCTGACCACTCTTCCAGTAAAGAAATGGATTTTCCTAATACCTTATCTAAACCTTCCTTAGTACAGCTTAAGGCCTTTTCCTCTTGCCCAATTGTTACCTGGGAGAACAGAATGACCCCCCACTTGGCTACACCTTCCTTTCAGTCTCCATTGCACTCCCCTGAGCCTCCTTTTCTCCAGGCTGAACAACCCCAGCTCCCTCAGCCACTCCTCACAGGACTTCCCCAGCTCCGTGCTCCAGACCCTTCCCCAGCTCCGTTGCCCTTCTGTGGACACCCTCCAGCACCTCAATGTCTGTCCTGCAGTGAGGGGCCCACAGCTGAGCACAGGATCTGAGGTGCAGCCTCAGCAGTGCTGAGTACAGGGGGACAGTCGCTGCCCTGGCCCTGTGGCCACACTATTGCTGTACAGGCCAGCATGCCAGGGGCCTTCTTGGCCACCCAGACACACATTGGCTCATGTTCAGCTGCTGTTGACCAGCATCTCCAGGTCCTTTTCCTTGGGCCCCTTTCCAGCCGCTCTGCACCAGCCTGTAGCACTTGATGGAGTTGTTGTGACCCAAGTGCAGGACTTGGTATGGCATGTTGAACCTCATATCCCTGCCTTGTCCACCAATCCAGCCTGTCCAGATCCCTCTGCAGTGCCTTCCTACCCTCAAGCAGATCAACACTCACGCCCCACTTGGTGTTGCCTGCAAACTTACTGAGGGTATACTCAATCCTCTCATCCAGATCACCAATAAAAATCTTTAAGATTGACTGAAGTCTGGGAAACATCTCTTGTGACCAGCCACCAGTTGGGTGTAATTCCATTTACCACCACTGTCTGAGCCTGGACATCAAACCAGTAGTTTTACCCAGCAGAGAGGGCAGCTGGAAAAGCCATGGGTTGCCAGCTTCTCCAGGAGAATGCTGTGGGAGACAGTACCAAAGGCTTCAGTAAAGTCCAGGTAGCCTATATCCACAGTCTTTCCCTCATCCACTTAGCAGGTTACCTCCACATGGGAGGTGATCACGTAACTAAAGCAATCACACTGCAACACCAACAAGCGTACATTCTTCAATCACTGTGTAAGACAAACCTTTAGGGAGGCTCTCAGCAATTGCTAGCACAGCATTGTATTGTGCAGGGTGCTGAAAAGGGCATGGAAGCTGTGCCAGCCCTTATCTACCCTTAAAACCAAATGTGAGCTGGGGGGAAAGGGGGAGGCAGTGCCTTGTAACCAGCTGCCCAAGGAGAGGTTGTTGCCAGTTTCTACTCTAAAGTAGCCAAGAATGCCAACACACCTTATGTGCCTTGGTTACACAGAATATAAACACACTGATTAGGTACAGCACATTCAGGACTGGAAGAATGGGTAAGCACATTTTCAACGGCACATGGAGAACATTGCATGACCACAGAGAAAGTAGTTTTTGTAGTTTCTAGCCCATTGTACTGGTGTCAAAAGTAAAAGAAAAAAACCCAAACCCTTTAGCTCCATACAGGCTAGACAAGAAACAGAGAAATCAACACCATTCCACAAACACACTCAATTACAGTAAAACATGTGAGCAAATGCTTATTCTTAGGCACATGTTTCAATTCATCCAATATCAAGAATATTGAAATATATAACCAAAGACACTCTTTAACTAGCACCCAATGATTTTGGAGAAAGAAACCTCCTGCTGCTTTTAATGGCTTAAGGATCAATTTCCAGATCTAGAATTTTCAAATCTCTGTTTTATCTAATTGCAGGAAGGGAAGAATCAAGGAAAGAATGTAATACAGTAAAACAAAAAGAATTAAGAGGAACATATTTACAGTCCTGTTTTCTCCCAATAAATTAATTATTAGACACTGATCTTTAAGAGCAAAAGAGATTTGAGTAATTGTGTTCAATTCTGGTTTCTCTGAATCAGTTTTGAAATGGCTATAAGCAAAAATCCAATAGATTATGGATAGAAAAAGATATTTGGGTGGAGAAAGAGGTGACAAATTAGGTATTATTATAGGTTTTGGAAGAGTCAGAGTAACAACTACATTAGGCATTCATCAGAACATGTATTCTCCACTTTGAAGATGGAAGAATTTTGAGACACAATTTAATGAACTTCATTATAAGCATCATTAAAAGCACCATTATAAGCATCTCCACACTAATAAACTATGAGATGAACATCCTGTAAATTTACATTGCTACATAAAAAAGTCTGGTGGGTGCTACAATATACATTCATAAATTTCAGAAACTGCCAGTGCTGCTTAGGTTCATTTTAAGCAGGATTTCTGTGGTTTCAACATTTATATAAACCCTCTTCACCTTACATTATCCAAATGTTAGTGTCAAATCATCTACTTAAATACATGACTAACAAAATAAAAGGAACAAACCCTCTGTTTCTTCACCTTAAGCAATACCCTTTCAGAAGCAACATGAAGCAAGTCTATTTACATTTCCCTAGGGAGAGATAACAACACCAACACCTAGTTTTCCTAAAGCAATAGCATGTACCATAGCTTAGCTTTTAAGAGGCAGCATTAAAGAGAAAAGAGGGGGGCAGAGGATAACCCAAAAACCTCAGATCACCTAGGCAAGGTATTGGAGAGATTGCTACTTTACAGAAGTCATTTTATGGTACTAACAGGTAAGTTTACTATTTAAGGACTTTTCTGCAATCGGGCTCTATTTAGCAAAATCAGCCTCTTGGGCAGAAAAGTCTCAATCTAGCCCTGCTCTCCCTGCAGCGGCCAGCCGGACTTCCACGGGGATGGGCTGCGTGCACCTGGAAAAAGCCCGTTCAGCTGCAGCAGACCTCAATCCCGAAATGGCCAACACCTCAGGCATGCAGGAATCTACCTCCCGTTCCCCCACATACTGCTGGGTGCTCTTTTTCCTTAAAGTGCTGCAACACCACAATTAAGAGACTTAAAAGTCCGTGGAAGTCCACAGAAAAATCTCCCCCCTCCTAAAACGAAGACAGACAGACCGACATACAGAGAGACTGACATACACACACAGCGCACAGGAACGAGACCCGCTTTCCGCCACTCCTTCAGGCCTCGGGTGACGCCGGGGCTCCCAGCGGGGACAGGACCCGCCGCCCCGAGCGGCTCAGCACTTGCCCCAGCCCGGCTCGGGGGCCCCGCCGGCCTCCGCCCTGCGCCGCCCTCCTTCCCCACCAGCCCTTCTCCCTGAGGCCGAACTGAACAGCAATAAAAACACAATCAGACTAACCCGGAGAGCCCGCGCCGCAGTCCCCGGGCACGCCGCGCCCGCCCGTCCGCAGCAGGGGACACACGGCAAGGCAAGGCAGGGCAGGGCAAGACAAGCTCCGCGCTGCCAGCGGCAGGACCGAGATCGAAATCGGGACCGCTCCTGCGGGCGAGCCCTCGCCGCCGGCGCCCCGCCGAGCACCCCGAGGCCGGAGAGCGAGACCGACCTGCCGCCCCCGGCGCTCCCGGCCGGCACTGCCGCGCTCCCTCACCTCCAGCGCCAGATGACGGCGGGAGGCGGTGCCGCGGGACGGCTCCTCCCGCCAGCAGCTCTTCTCTCCCGCCCGTCCCGGGGGCGAGGCGGTGGGACCGCTCGGTGGGCGTCCGGCGAGCCCTCCCCGCCCCCGGCCGCTTCCCTTCGCCCTGCGGATGAGGGCGCTGTGGGAGCTGCTTTGCGGCGCGGGCCGCGTGCGCCCCTGGGCTTGGTGGCCCCAGGCCCTCAGGTCTGTGAGGGGCTGTGCGGGGCTCCGTGCGCTCTGAGGCCGTGCGGGGCCGCGATGGGGCACCAAGAGTGACGGCACCTGTTGACCCGTTTGTGACGGGGGGCTCTGGCTCCACTGCTCACACTAAGAAATTTCTCCCTAAGTAAATTTCCTCTCTTTCAATTTGTACCCATTAGTCTTTGTCTTATCTCGCTCTTCATGACCAAGAGTTCATCTCCAGCTTCCCTGCAGGCCGCCTTCAGGTACTGGAAGGCTGCTATGAGATCTCCATGCATCCTTCTCTCCTGCAGGATGAACAGCTCCAGCTTTCTCCTGTCTTAGCCTATGTTCTCAACCCCTGTTCAGAGCTGAGCCTTTCGGCCTGGGCCAGTGGTCAGGATCAGAGGACCAGGTCACCTTCCTTGCCTCTCATTTTGTTTCTCCTCCTTTGTCACATATGAGCTCTGAATTCTGTTTCTGACATAAAACTGCTTTCTGGGCCAGCTACCAGCAGACATGCACCCTGAGCAGGACTGCTAACATCATCCACCTGGTCATTGCCATCCATACTGAGAACGTAAAAAATCCAGATTTTTAATTCCCCCAACATGTACTTTCCATGTTTAAGTTTTTCAGGCCTCAGGAAAAAATTGAGGGGGAAGAATTGAGGAGGAGGACAGTGAGGAAGGATATAAATCAGTGTAAATGAATGACTGTGAAAAGGAAGCTGTGAGAAAAAATGTGCAAAGATTTCCTGCTGATGAAAATGGGAGGTTACTGGGACTTTGCAACACTGCTGCATGCAAGAGAATGTCACTCCTACAGGGTCCTGGGCTCTTCGAAGGGAGCAGAGTGCTGGAGCTGAATTCCTGCTGTGTGAAGCAAGGCTGCACAGTTGACTGCCTGCTTGCTGCTTGAGAATGGTTAAGAACCCTAAACTACTCAAGACCTTTTTGTTCCTGGTAGAATAGACTACTCCCAAGCTACGCAACATGAGTGCATAATAGCTCTGCATTTACAGCTGTAATTGCTGATATCGGACAGGCTGACTCATGCACATTGAATTCCAAGTGCAGAAGGAACTATTGTGTACCCGTATGTGTTAAAGAGAAGAAATAACATAGCATTTCAATGTTCTGCTTCCATTTTTCTTCCATTTTGTTCAAGGTCCTTACTTCACTCTGGTTTTTATCTTCCATGATATTTATAAAACAACTTTGTCACATGTTTACTCAAACCTATGTGCAATAGTCACACCACTTAGAGACAGTGGCTGCCCTAGGTCAGAGCCATAAGAGAGGTTCCTGGTAAACTAGATTCATCCTCTGATGCTTCAGTTTCTGCTTTTCACAGCAGTAGGAGTACAGTGGCTCATATACACTGCAGTCAGATGTGCCATCTGGCTCAGCTCTGAATCTTTAGAGTGGATGACATTTTGTTTAATATATTCAGAATCTGCAGCTTTAACTAGTTTCTGGTTATATGAGTATTTTCAAGATAGAAAAATGGAAGATGAGAAAAATCTAATACTATCAGATCTTCTCAAAATTTCCTTTCAGATTTTTAAATTGAACCGCTTCATGTTATATTGCACCTCAATGGGCAGGGCTAAACAGTCTTACAGAGCTCTTGCAAAGGAGGTTTTAAGAACTGCAGATAGTGTTGACACTGATTATATATGATGAAGAGGCAATACTGAGTCCCAGGCCCTGTTCCAAGAGTGGGCAGAACCCCTGACTACTCTACTTTTGAAAAAGCATCCTAAAGCAAGAGAAAGTTTCTTCTTTCTTCTTTGTGCTGAACTAAGCAAGTACCTGAATGGTTTTTTTCCACTCCTGCATATACTCTCTAACAGTGCTACATGATGTAAGTAAACGCTCAGTAAATAACAAGTTATTAATCTCATTTACTGTGTTTTTCTCCGCACACTCCCAGGGTCTCTTCTTTGGGGTCCACCAGCTACATTCAGGTGTACGAAAACTAGACAGATGGGACAGGAGCTGCCACTAGTTGTGGTAATAGATTGCTTGCTACAATCTAATTTTCTACAATTATCATTTTAGTAGATTGCCCTTGTCATGGTTTATGTCCAGCTGGCAACCAAGTGCCACTCACTCACTGTCCCTTGGTGTGGCACAGGGGGCAGAACCAGAAAAGTTCACCCCTGTAAGTACCCCAGTAAGAACACTCATGAGATGAGATAAGAACAGTTTAATAGGTAAATAAAAAGCCATGCATGCAAGCAAAGCAAAACAAGAAATGCACTCATTTCCCATAGGCAGACAAGTGTTAAACCATCCCAGAAAAACAGGGCTCAGTCAGGTGTAACATTGACTTGGGAAGACAAAGACCACCACACTCAATATCCTGGGTCCTTCTCCCTTCTTCCCACAGCTTTATATGCCAAGCATGACACCATGGTATACTGAATCCCTGGGGTCAGTGTTACCCACTGTGTCCTCTCCCAGCTTCTTGTGCACCTTATTGGTGGGGTCCCTTGAGGAGCAATAAAGGCTTTGTTACTGTCTAAATACTCCTCCACGGTAACAAAAACATCCCTGAGTTATCAACACTTGTCTTCAGCACAAATCTAACTACTGTAAAGAACATTATCCCTTCCCCAGACAAAATTCCATACTGACTTCCCTGTTATGCTGCTTATAGCATACAAGCTAGCAAGATAACTGCAGAAAATTGGAGCTTTAGGGGTACTCGAACACATTTTTCTTCTTTGTATAATCACTGTTCAATGGGATTGATGATGATGTTTATATAGAGGACATTTATGATATTCCATAGCAATGTATTTATTAACAAAATATCTGAGATGGGAAAACTACTATTATTTACTTTTATATATGTGTGGCTGAAGACATGTATTAACAATATACTGAAGTCAGTTTATACTGAAGCCAGATCAAAAACACTGTGGCAGAGTGATGATCTGGTAGAAATATGTTTTTCTGGTTGAGACTCTTTCAGACAGTTTATAGGAATTAGCATTATGCTGATGAGTTTTTTACTTTACCTGCACAACTTACATTCTTGATGGTGTGGGGAAAAAATCTAATTGCATGTCATGCCTAAGCCAAAAGAAGTTTATGCTGCCAGGAGAGCCAGAGGTGCAAAGCACCACTGGATGAATTTTGATGAAACCATCAGTAGTTGCAGCTGGATCATTTTGCCAATGCAGAACATTTAGTATTTTTCTTGCATCTTCACTTTGTCAAAACTTTTGCATAAGGATAGCAGTACAGAGTGCTCAGTCACTGCAGGATACTAGAGTTCTAGTAGTCTCCACCAGAGGAGTGAGATCAGATAATCCAAGGAATTTTTTTGTCTTGCAATCCATGAATGAGTGCTGATCTGAGCTACTAACTGCAGAAGTTCAGAGTACAGAGTCCAGCATACGCACAGATAATATTTTAGGCCCACATTAGTAATTTCATTTTTACTTTCCTTTGGTTTTACATATCCAGTAAGCATGGACCAATGTTTGAAGGAAAGTTGTAAAGTTACACTTAGGAAGAGCTACTTTCTTCAGCCTTAAAAAAAAATTAAAATTCAGAAACAATTTCTAGAAATCTGAAAATGCAGTAAGAGCTGCTGCTTAGAGTCTTCTGAGTAGCAGTGAGTAATGAAACCTTTTGCTTCAAAAGTCTCTCTCCAGAATATGACTTATGCAGCAAGTAAAACTTAGCATGTTGTTTCAAGACAGACATTCTGTGATGTGTTAATTTGGTGAGATTTTTTTTCCCCTATAAATGTAAAGAAGAACTGTCTCCGTCTCTTCGGGTGCCTCCCAGTGACCCCCGGCCAGCCCCGGGTCGGCAAACAGCGGGGGGGCCGCCCCGAAGTGTCCGACAGCGGGGGGACACTCTCTGGTGCCCCGAGGGTACTGAGGGCAGCTAGGCTAGTCACCTTTGCAGCAGAAGAGACGCTGGAGACATCGGTGGAGGGTAAAAGGCCGACTCTGAACAGGGGGCCAGTCCAAGGTTTATTCGGAGCTCCCCAGAGAGCCCCCCTCCTCAGGGGTGCGCCGTGCTCAGAGTAAGACACAGGAATCTCAAGGTTACATTTAAAGGGGGCGAGGAAACCGAGGGTAGATACATTTGCTGACCAATAAAGACCCTCCAGGGATGCAGCCTTAGGGGATGGACATTTGGGATAGCGTATAACATCATCCTTGGGGGGCTGACCCCTGGCTTTGGGCTAATCACTCGACGGCTTTGACCGAAAGATCTAGATAGAAGGGATGGGATGCTGAGTGACTGACAGAGAGCCAGGGCGGGGATTTGGGGGATGATCTCAACACAGGAGAGTGGTTACATAGGTAGAGGAAGGGGGTACAAAAAGGGGTACATCATCTGGGGAGAATAAGGGGATACAAAATCAAAACTATTACAAAGTATTACAAAGTATAAAAGCACACTGCAACAAACAAAGACTTCTATTTCTTCCCTTAACTAAAATAAGCAATTTTCTTTACTATGTTTGTCTCTCACCACAAGCAAGCAAGATTATATTAAACACCAGAACCACATAGTTTTCCACTTCTGCTGATTTGATCAGCTTATGAATATAATAAAAGGGTATATATATTAAAATAATATTGAGCCTGCTCATTAAGGATGC